CAGTTCCCGCTGAGAGAGACAGAGAAAGGGCAGCCCCCAGAACAGGCGCCTTTTGGGGAGAGTTTCAGGGAGAGTGAGGACTCACCTGCCTCCCCACCAACTGAAGTCCACAAGCCGTAAAGCCTTTGTGGGGTGGCGAATTACCTTCTCTTTCTCACCTAGCACAATCCCTTGGAAGGCTCCCACTGGGTGGCAGAGGGCCACAGCAAGGACTCGCGCACTGCTGAGGTTTGAGCGACACCTGTCGTGCCCCAGCCTCTGATCTGCGTGGGGCACTGCCCACGATGCTGGAGTAGGGGGCAAGGAATTTAGTGCTAAGAGTGGCACTAAATGGAGTTCCTGCCCTTGGGACCCACTCCTCAGGGGTGTTCACTGCCAGGCAGTGAGGGAGATGCTGCTTCCATGCCCACCTTGCAGCTACTCTGCAGCAGGAATCACTGTCCAGATGCCCTAAAGCCAAATACCCATGGGAGCACCTTCACCAGGAATGGAGGCTTGGTCCCTCGCTAGCAAGAACTCCTGCTTCTTCTCTCGTATTGGAGCATATCCTTAAGTCCTGCCAGGATCTTCCCTGTCCTGCCCTCTCCCTTCTGAATCCCCCTCACCCTCCAAGGGCTGGCTGCCCACCCCCACCCACAACAGAAAGACTCATCCTTTGCCAGGATGGGAGAAAAAGGCTCCCACCACAGATAGTCCTCCCATCACACCAGTATCTGGGAAATTAGAAGTGAAATCCGGCCCCACAACACATTATAGCTGGGTCAACACCTATGAAAGGGTCCTCACTTCAAACACCTTAGAGTCCAAAGGGCAAGTCACCCATCTTCTCAATAAGCCAGAGATTTACTGCCTTCCGCAGACAGGCACCTCCGTGGAAGAGAAGCTGTTGGCCTGTGGTGAGAAAAATACTCTAGACTGAGTCAGGAGACCTGGACAGATCCACTATCCTGAATTCTCTAAGTTCACAGTCCTAAATTCTAGGGGGAAGGGAATGCAAAGGGGAGGAGAGGTGCGGAGAGGAGTTAGAAAGGAGACCTGGCCTGAAGGAAGGTAAGCAGGTGTGCTGACCTGGGCTCAGGCTAAAGGGGTGCACAGGGACCCCTGGTCATACAAGCCATTTTGTCACACACTTCCCTGAGAGCACTTCTAGCTAGCAGCATTCCCAACAGCAATCCAAAGGGAAGGCTCTCTTGCTGGCCACCTCCAGTGGTGCAGGTGGGAGCAGGTAAAAAAGTAACATGAAAAAGGTTCCAACCTCTCTAGTCATTAATGGAACAGCGGTACTGGGCCAGACACAGCAGTACTGGGCCAGGCCCTGCTGAGCAACCCACTCTGGACAACAGACAGTCCTGGGACTTGGAGAACATGCCATCTAAACAGAATTAAACAGATTTTTTTTTTCTTATGAAAGAAATCAGAGTTGTGCAAATAAATCTAGTTGGACTGGATGACTCTCTTCACAACATTCAGAAAAGGGTAACACACTGCAAGAGTCGTGAATTCCATTGATGAGAGGATTTCCCTACTCAAATATCAAAAGGTCTTGCATACACATACACCAAAAAGAGCGAGAACCACCACTTAAACCCAGCGTCACATAGCTATCAGAAGGGAGACAGCAGTCAGTACCTTCTCAGCACAGGCCATTCTGCCTTCTGTTATGTTCTGGGCCTTTTACAGCATGGTGCTCCCAGCCTCCCACACTCCACGGGGTCCCCAGCTGCCTCCCTGGTATCTGCTCAGCCCTGAGGAACCCCACACACTGACTTCCAGGTGAGAAGGGTCAGAAGCTGTAAGCAGACAGCTCACTGCTTGGCCAAGAGCAAAGGTTCCCACAGAGGGAAGACCACAAAGATGTCATCTCCATCCCAACCCCAACTTTTTCCCTCTTGTTCACAGGAAAAAGGAGGAAAATAAATCTGCCCAGCTTCTGCACCTTTCCACAAACTCACTGCATGTATGTGGGACCAGGCTACCAATTTCTTCCTCGCAGCACAGCCCAGTGCTTTCAGGCAAGGAGAATATGGTGGTGAATCAGGGGCAGATATAGGCCAAGGAATCCAATTCAAAGCCCAACCTTTCAATTTTCAACCAATCAGCCTGAATAAAGTATGAGTTAAACATCATGTATGAAGCAGCATTATGTGTGAGCACAAAAATACAAAAAAATAAAATGTGATCCCTGCCCTCAGAAAGGTTATAGCTTGGGGAAGAGAAAATACCACCACCCAAGAGGATGTGAATACCATGGGCGTCTGCTCGCTAATCCCAACACAGTACTTCTTCCAAAGAAGCAAAGGCACTGTAGCCACTACATGACAGAGTTAGGCCTGTGCCAAGGCCCAACTCAGACAGTCTTAGTTACTTGGAGAAATGGCCTCAGAGATGGGGGCCAGGGGAAGGCAATACAGAAACATGGTACAGAAACTCACTGCATGTACATGGGATCTGGCTACCAATTTCTTCCTCGTAGCACAGCCCAGTGCTTTCAGACAAGAACGCGGTGGTGAACCAAGGGCAGATGTAAGCAGAGGCTGACATCTTGATGTTTCAACCGACTCTTAATCACCCAACTTCCCAGCTTCCCCATTTCTGCTCTCAACTTGATGCAAGAGGCAGAAGTTCCCAACCTACTTAGCCCACTATGAGGTCATAGTGTGGGGATTACCAAGTCACCTTTGGGCTGGGCAGAACAAGAAGTAAACAAGTCAGTCCAAGAAAGATCCAAACAGGGGATGTTCTCTGGGCTCCAATGGGCCACCACACACAAAGAGGACCTGGGCTACAGATACACTGGAGTCTGAAAGGCAGGTGGCCCCTCTTCTCACCACTTCATATATGTTTTAACTGTTTGAACGAGGATACAAAAAAAAGAGGCAGGGATTGAAAATCTAGCCTGTGGATATCAACCTGTGATTACTAATGCCATGTTTGTATGCTCTGAAATGCTTTCCCAAGTCTGGAATGCTTTTCACAGCATCCTACCCACTCATTGTCCCCTCTGCACCCCAGCACACAGAAAAGATGTGCTTTTTTACATGCACTTAGGTTTTGGTTTCACTATTAAACACAGTGACCAACCCCCAATATTGTAACTCAGGTTGTGTTGGAAACTCAAAAAAGACTTGGCTTGGCTGGCTGGCAGGGAATCTGGGCTCTGCCCCTCCAAAACATTCTCCAGATGTCAGCGGAAAGTCATGAACAGCTCTCTCCCCAGCATTAAGCAAGGCAAGAAAGGCCACTCACTGTATTTCTCAGCTTCCACGAAGTCGTCACGGAAGAGGAGCCAAGAGGGAGGGAGGCAGGATCGTGACTCTCCATCACCTGATGAAGCAGAGAGGTGGCCAGAGAACTTGGGACCAGAGTGGAGAGCTAAGTTCAACACAGACAAGCACAGAGAGTAGGGTTTGGGAAGGAAGACGTACGGCATCACTAGTCAGAAGTGAAAGTCTAGTGGCACTCAAAGACGGCCAGCAAAGCTCTAGGAGTCCTAGTCTACAACACGCTGAGCGCGAACAGCACTGAAGCACTGATTTTTTCAAAAGCAAGCAAGATACTCAAGTGCAGATCTAGGAGTGAGGAATGTGGAAAACTCTAAGGTACCTTGGTGGTGTATTCTGTGGTAATCAGACTAGTATCTTTGAGCAGATCTGAGAAACCAGGAGTTCTAAAGAAAAGTACAAAAATAAGTAAATGATAAAAGATAATAGATCTATATATATAAATAAAGATAATTAACATAAAAGATAATCTAAATAATAGATCTGTAAGTTCGTTTTCAAGGAATAGAGATTCCAGAAGGAGCAGTGACAGGCAGTAGAGCAAGGAATTCAAAATATGAGGGGTGGTAGCCCAAAGCAGGGGATGAGATACTCTGTCTTCTTGGAGTAAAGAGGAAATGGTTGAAACTGAAGCATAAGGGATTTAAGGCAGACAAAAAGGAAGGACTTCCTGCTATTGACAGATGTCTTTAAAACTAGAACCCATGTGGAGGAGGAAGAGGTTGGGCTGGCTAATTTTCAAGACCCATCTGCCCCTAAGAGAGTGCAGGTTCCACCACCACCCCAACTCCATCTACCCCTATGTCCAGTGATCTGGATAAAAACACAGTGCAAACCTCAGAAATGCCACAGCCTTGGGACCTTATCAGGACATATGGTGGGCAGGCCTGCCCAAAATGGGGAAGGGGACAGAGAGAAGCAAGAGGGTGTAATGCAAGGGCAAAGCAGCATGCTGCCCTCTGAGACCTTCCTCAGCAAAGGCCCAGCTCTGACCAGTAGTTCAGCCACTGCACACAGAAACACGGGGAGTCACCCCTCAGCAGACGGAAGGGCCACTCCTGGGCCCTGCTGGGCAGGGAGAGGCCGTATGCGTTAGTAGAGTGAGTCAGGGATGAAAGTGTGAGGTTTGGGCTCTGAGCCAATTCTATCAATGCCTAGTGAGTGGCCTCAACCTTCCTTATCTGTAAAATGAGAGGGCAAACGATAGGACTTCACGATTCTACATCTACATGGAAGGGGCTCAATAAATATTTATGTTCCCCTTTCACAAAGGAAACTGTCTATGCTCAAAGCTCTGTACTTTCTTCTGCAATTCCTCAGATACTCTGGGCAACAAGGAACAAGAGCCTTGACCAAAAGTCAATTTTGGGGAAAGAGAAATTTTTTTAAAACACCTTAAAAAAATACTGGGATTTAGCTATCTAATTTTAAAAGAAAATTAGGCCCAGGACTTCTCTATCCAGACTCCCTCGGACAAGGCTGGACCTCAGATACTCTTGTCTGGTTTCCTCTGTCAACATCTGCTCCCTTTGCAAAAGGCCTTGGAGCTGAAGGTGGCCCTGAATCAAATCTTCAGTTCTGCATGGGTGTGTTGTAGCGCAAACAAGTGAGTCCAAAGAATTCGGTTACTACTTAGTACGAATAAAATTTATTTACTTTGTAAGTACCTGTATTAGAGCAGACTCAAGATTATGCCTGTAAAATGATATTCCAACTCACCTGAATTTCAGTAGACTCACTAGAGTGGAGAATACGGGGTGGGGCCCAGCCAGAAACTGCACATGGGAGGGCATCTCACAAGGAGTAGGTCAATTTCTCAGGCATACAGACGAGGGGACAAGATGGAACAAAGAGGAAAAAGTGAGATTCATGGCTCTCAATCTGAGAATCAGCACCCCAGAGGAGAGCGAAAGAGATGACACACAAACCCATCAGAGAATGCTGAGGACATGTGAAGGGCCTAATTATCATTAGAGTTCCCTTGACAGTCTATCCAGAGCCAGAATGCAAGAGGGGCTGTCACAGGGCATCCAGGGACATGGCAATTAGTAGGCTCAAGTCAAGCAGGATGGACAATCACCATGCCACCGCTTGATGGGCCTAGGTCACAACACAGTCGTTGACAGCGGTAGTTCATAGGGCTGTGTGTTAGGTGACCTTCTGATCTTCAAGTGGAGAACTGGAGCCACAGTGCCCAACCACTCTGTCTCCCTACAATCCACAGCCAATGGAGAGTTCATTCTTTAAAAGCACTAGAGTAGACATCTCTCAACCCTTGGAAGAAAAGAAAAGAGGTGGGATTCGTAAATCTTTACACTCTGGAAGGTAACGCCAAGTCAAGAAGTTTCTTCCCTCCCAGGTACACCAAGGGCACCTTTCAAACACAAGCTACAAAAAGAAAGAAAAGAAAGCAAAAGTAGCTACAAAAAGAAAGAAAAGAAAGCAAAAGTAGCTACAAAAAGAAAGAGGGGGCAGAAAGGGAACCAAAGGACTATGTGATCTCAGTCCACAGTATCAAAATCTTTTAAGGCATTCTGTGGCCTTTTCTATAACCTCCATATTGAGGGACATAAAACACAAAACATTACACCTGTCAGGTGTTATGCCCTGAACTATCTCCAGGCAACTGAGAGTCAGCACCTCGGACTTTTAACGACATGAAAGTTAAAGATTAAAAACATGTTGGAACGCTTACTCTAGCCAGTGCCAAAAATGTGTCTCTAACCTGTTAGGAGAGATGGGTGTGGAGCATCACAGGAGAATGAGGAGAACACTCTCGCTGCAGAGAAAATACAAGGTCCCCCCCCTCCACCCCTGACTCGTTTTCTTCCCTTCCTGCTGCCCTTCCCTCCTTCTGAGGGAAATTCCTCCCTCAGACATGCTTTGCAGCAGAGGCAAGTTAACCACTCCAGAGAGGGAGTCTCGAACCACTGAACCCTGGGCAGAATTCTGAGGCCAATTCTTTCTGATACATGAGGCCAAAGCCATGGCTTTAGACATGCACGTGGGCATGGGAACGTGATTACTCAGACAAGGGCTCCAGGTCATGTCCTGTAACTCCTGAATTACTTCAGTGATAACAAAAGCCCACTGAAAGCAAGGAGATACTTTCACAGGGCATTACCTTTTGCCAGCCTATAATGAAAGCATTCATGAGAATTCAAGTGAAATAGCTCAGTTCACCCTCTTTTGACAGGGCTTATAGAAAATTTGCATCTACTTACACTCCCCTCTCAGTGAAAAATCATATCACTGATAAGCAATTATTGTACCTCCTTCAGATCACTCAGCTTAAATTTTCATTTATATCTACCTAGACATGCACACATGTGTATCTGATGTAGTGTTATGGCTTTTCTCCAAAAACTGAAAAATTCAGAAAGCCAAGCATAACATAATATACCTCGAGTGAATGGCACACCCTATGGGTAGAAGCCAAAAAATAAAAAAATAAAAAACCTCGTAAAATTATTTATGCACAGTATTAAAATTTTCCTCAAAAGTTCTCAGGCAAATGGGTGCCTCTCTAATTTTCACCCTTACAATAAACTCTTCCACAGGTTTTGTTTATTTTGAGGAAACATTTCACTTCTTTTTTTTCAAGACATGAGGTGTGAATGATGCAAAACAGTATTTGGATATGTAAACTGAATTATTTGCATAATGTATTACTAATCAGTGAGTATAAATTCTGGAGTCTGAGAACTGGAATTAAGTGCCACAGAATTTTTTAAATATAGGTTATAAAAGTAAAGAGCATGGCCCTTCAGTGGAAAAATGTACACATTTGCATTGTGGTTGTAGGAAGGAGAAATTATCCCCAGAGTTTTCTGAAGAATTTTAAGTAAGTGACGTTGATGTACACTACTTTGCTCTGACTCAACAGGAAAGGCATAAAGGTCCTAAATTCACAGGCTCGACCATACCCCGACCCAAGCACCAAGGAGAGCAAAGATATTTGCATCTAAAAGAGCAGACATTCCCTCAGCCCCAGACTGGTCTGCCTGCTGCGCCTATAGGAGTACTCCAGGGCCAGCCTGACGTTCTGCCTAAATGCCCAGCAAATCAACTTGGCCACCATGTTCCACTGAGCCCCAAATCATCTACACCCTTCTTCTGTGGGTTCGCACTGGTGTTTTTATGAAAGCTTAGCCCCTTCTGTGCAGAAAAACACTATAATGGACGTGTGAACAGCAGAAAGATTATTCCAGCTTCATACACTCCCTTTTGTCTATCAAGCACAATAAAACCAAATTGGAGAAACTCTTTGTCTGAATAAACATTTTTTGGAGAAATCTGGAGAAGAGAAAAAAGGAGGTGCAGCCAGTGATCAGCCCCAGACAATGGCATCCTCCTCATCCCTGCAACACAGCCTGACAGGTCCCTCATTGCCCAAGGGTCACCTGCAAGATTAGAACTCCCACGGGTACACGTGCATGCACGCACACACACACACACACACACACACACACACACACACACACACACACACACACTGGTCCTTCAGGGGGCCAGGGTACATTTCTACAACAGCTGGTCCTATTGTCTACTGCCAGTGAAGCCAAACCAGCCTAAAATTTAATTTAATCTGCCATAAACCCTAGTGTCAAGCACTTAGATGGCAGCTAAAAGCGCCATTCTCAGATAACTGAGTGACACTTGCTAATAATAGGCCCTGCATGAAGTGAGCAGGAGCGGACATTTTGTGAAACCAGAGGGACCCGTGCCTGGGAACAGCTCCGCGAGGCTGGTCTCAGCTTTCTAGCAGCAGATACGGCAGAAACCAGGCTGACCCTGGCCCCAGCGTGACTGTCTGCGCTGAGACCACCAGTGACCTCGCTCTCAAGCTATGCAGCCACAGTCCTGGCTCTTGTCCAACAGAACAAAATGCCCTTTTACAGTTGTGCAATCAGGGTGTTGTTCCCTCCATTGTCCAGAGGCTGTGGTCCAGACCCCTTGACTATGCTTTTGGTTCTCCTTCCTCAGAGCTGGTCAGCCTCCTCACAAGCAAAGCATCTTTCTCGGATAGCCAGGCCCCAGTGGCCACAGGAGGGCCCAAGGGCCTTGTCTTCCTCAGTACTACCAGGTAAATGGCAAAGTCCCACCTGCTTCTTTCCAACACCCACCACAGTGAAAAGGGGCACCAGTTCTGAAACTCTAACTCCACTTCCAACTCTGCACGTTCTGGAAACAATCGTGGGGTCTCTGTGCAGCACTGTGTAGACTCTCAGACGAGCCCCTACAGTAACATTTGCAGGAACAAGACTTGAGCTCACACACTTTCCTCCCCACAGGACACCTGCCCCCTCACTATCTCTGAGCCAAACCCTTGGCAAAGAAACAACCCCCACTGAACAAGGCCATTTTGTTCATAAGCCATTAAGAAGCACTTGTATTTTCAGGAATATCTCACATATACACAAAAGTAGAGAGAATGATGTAAATCAGCTCCCAAGTACACATTAGCCAGCTTCAACCATTAGCAACTCAGGGCAGATCTTGTTTTAATATAAAACCCTATTGCCAACCCTGTCCTACTGGATTCTTTACATTGATTTCAGACAGCCTATCATTTCATCAGTAAATGATTCAGTATGTATTTTAAAAAGATAAACTTTTTTGTTAAACCACAAAACCATTATCATGCCTAAAAACAATAAAGTGACAATAACGTCTTATCATTGAATAGGAGAGTTCCTTTAATATCAGAAGTACTTCTTTCCTTCTAGGTCATGCTTGTGAGGATCTCCTCCACCAAGGTTCAAGACTACAGCTGCTACAGAAAGCATTTGGTGAATCACTCTCTAAAAAGGGCCATTGACCTTGTTTACAGTCAACTTGCACTTGAGCATAAACTCCTGGCCCTTGCAGTCTGCAGTCCTTCGCTCTATGTGGGGCTGAAGGCACCCACTGGTAATACTCCATGAGGGTCCTCTCCCCCTCAATACCTCCCTCACCCCAAGTCTTCCTCACCCCTCACTATGTGGCCATCACCATATTGGGCAAGCAGATACACTCCCAGTGTTCAGAACTGGTAGTTATTTTTCTTCAAAGACAGTGTTCTGGACAGTTCGGCACAGAATTCATTCATAGAGTGTGTCTTGGATATACAGCTGACTAGATATGTCAGTTATGTTCCAAATGGGTTTTCACAGGTCAAGGTTCTACAGGCAAGAGCAAATACTATTTTTAGACAGGATAAGGTCACAATGCTTTTAGAGACAGTGAGGTCTACAATAAAACCTATTGATCAGCCTCTGGAACTAGGGCTCCAGAGAGACACAGAGATTGTAACAAAAATTGCTTGGCTGTCTTCTCTATAGACTCAGTGGGTAAAAGCTTGTTGGACTTAATATCTTTCAGGATATAAAATAAGTAAGAAGTAACTGTGTACAGATTACTGAAGTCCATTTAACCAGATGCAGAGGCTGGTCACGAGAAATACACTTATGGCAGAACACTGAGGAAGGGGACGTCAAGGCAACAAGTGTCACAGTCACAGAAAGATACAAAGACTAGCATGCTCATCTCAGCGAAGGCAGGAGGCACTGGCTGCCATCCATGATTTTAGCTTGAGGCTGTGTCCCTAACTTCGCAACTCTGGCCCTCATTACAGGGCTATGTGATAACAGACCCTCAGAGACAGAAGCATGAAGACAGATTTGTCTAAGTCAGAATCTTATGAAGAGGTATTTATATGGACAATTTTTTTAAACGTCTATACTGACTTAATGGAATCATGGTAAATCTAAAAATCTTCCTACTTGCTCCCTCAATCTCTCTATATACCATAGAGAGAGAGAATATATATATATATCTTATGGTGATAGTATTACTGTATTTGGGAACTTTTTTTTTAAAAAAAGAAAAGTTGTATAAAGATATGCCACACAAAACTCCAGTAAGAAAAATCATTCATTGCCAGTGAAACTTAAAAAATAAATTTGGAAATTATACAAATACACAGGGGCCTAGGCAAATGAACTGTCAAGGCACAGAGAGCCACTGAAAAGTTTCTTAACTAGCCAGAACGTTCATGAATTACCAAGATTTTAGCAACAAACCCTAAATTATTTATTTAAGTCAAATAGGAGCTTTAAGTAAAGACATTAACACAATGGACTAGCACATCTCAAACTTCAGCCTGAGATCTAAAACTTTGAAGTCAATTATGTCCCCATAAATATTTCTCCCTTATCAGCAGTGCTTGATTGTTTTGGAGACTTGGGACCACAGGAACTAGTGTGAAAACTGCAGGATATCTTCATTTATCATCTGCTCCCAGCTCCCAGCCTGGCTCACAAACA